CGAATCCAATTGGGTCATGACCGAAAACTCCAACTCGTTTTTGAACCCCGCGCTAACGCGCAGGTCAGTGAGCCACACATAAGGGATGCAAAGGGCTAGGAAAGACCCAGTAGCGAAAGGTATCACACCGGGTAGCATGATCTGTATCCTTTCTCACTAAGCCGGAGATCCTGGTTCGAATCCAGGGATGGTCATAGTTATGTTCCCGCGCTGTTTTTCTTGAAAACGCACTAACGGACAAATGGTTTGCATGTTTATTGAGGATCTACAGTGGAGCAGGAAGGACTCCGTAGGGAGAGGAATATAACCGGGGCGACATGTAAAGTGTACATCGCAGCTAGGCCGGAGATGATCCTGGTTCGAATCCAGGGCGGGACATAGATAGTTTGCTTTTTTTTCTGGAAAAGCGCGGGAACGATGAGACCAATTGAGCGGCGTACAAAATGAGGTTCAGAAGACCCAGTAGCGAAATGAAATGCATGTGCTCTAGTCGTGAAAAGATTTCAAGCCGGAGATGATAATCCTGGTTCGAATCCAGGCTGAGTCATTGCTAAAAATTCTGGCCTTTTTCTTGAAAAGCACGGGATGATGAGATGAATTCAGTGGCGCGTCAAGTGAGGATCATGAGACTCAGTAGCGAGATTAATTGCACCGGCGCAGCGTGTAAGCTGTCCCTGTGATCATACTGGTTCGAATTCAGGCTGAATCATTTGAGAGGAGTGAGAGTGATGTCTTTGTTGTTGAAGAGCGCCAACAGACAAGTGATTAACCTGTATATTGAGGATTCAAGGGTGCCTAGTAAGACCCAGTAGCGAAATTAATCGCACCGGCGCAGCATGTAGGTCATCCTTAGAAGCTTCAAAGCCGGAGATCCTGGTTCAAGTCCGGGCTGGGTCATTTGCAGTAACTTCAGCGATGCATTTTTTTCGTGAAAAGCAGGGAAACGAATGAAGTCATTGGCGCATACAGTGAGAATCAAAAGACCCAGTAGCGAGAGGACTCGCACCGGCTCAACATTTCTTCTACCGAAAGGAGCTCTCAAGCCGGAGATGATCCTGGTTCGAATCCAGGCTGGGTCATACTTGTGTTCTCGCTGCTTTTTTCTTGAAAACGCACTAACTGACAAGTGGTTTGCGTGTATATTGTGGATCCCCAGCTGAGAAGGAGGACCCAGTAGCGAGAGGCATCGCATCGGCGCGGCATTGCACAACCGCTAGAAGCTTTGAAGTCGGAGACAACCCTGGTTCGAATCCAGGCTGGGTCATGACAGATTCAGCCACAGTGTCTTTTTAGTTGAAAAGCACGCCAACGGACAACTGTTTGGCCTGAATATTGAGGATCTAAATCTAAGCAGAAAGGACCCAGTAGCGAGAGGCATCGCACCGGCGCGGCATTGCACAACCGCTAGAAGCTGTCAAGCCGGAGACAACCCTGGTTCGACTCCAGGCTGGGTCATTGGTTTATGGTCCAATGCTTTTTTGTTGAAAACGCACCGACGACAAGTGGTTTGCGTGTATATTGAGGATCTAAAGCTGAGCAGGAAGGACCCAGTAGCGAAATAAACCGCTCCGACGCAGCATGCAAAACGTTCATGGTGATCAAGCCAGTGATGATCCTGGTTCGACTCCAGGCTTGGTCATTAGAAGTACTGAGGAGCCTTTTTTCTTGAAAAGCACGGGACGATGAGATGAATTCAGTCCCTGTACAGTGAAGATAAAAGACCCAGTAGCGAAATAACTGGCACCCGCACAGCATGCTATCGCAAATCGTGTGATGGAGATAACCCTGGTTCGACTCCAGGCTGGGTCATTCGAAGTACTGAGGAGCCTTTTTTTTGAAAACGCACTAACGGGCAGGTAAGTGATACACCCAGTGGCAAAATGAATCGCATCGGCAGCGTATGATCACTTCTCTGCATGCTTTGGAGCCGAAGATGATCCTGGTTCGAAGCCAGGGTGGGTCATCATGTTGACATATTGGTCTTTTTCTTCAAGAGCACGGAAACGATGAGATGAAATTTGAGGCATACAAAATGAGGTTCAGGAGACCTAGTAGCGAGATGTATCGCACCGGCAGCCTATCAGCAATTCCCAGGGCGTTTTGGAGCCAAAGATCCTGGTTCGAATCCAGGCCTTGTACGTGAACGTGGCGTTTTTTTCTTGAAAACGGGCCAACGTACAAGTGATAGACATTTGTGTTAGCTGAGTAGGAAGGACCCGGTAGCGAGAGGAATCGCACCTGCGCAGCATGCCATCGCAAACGTGTGAATGAGGTGATCCTGGTTCGAATACAGGCTAGGTCATGAATCGGTTCTCACGCATTTTTTCTTATCTTGAAAAGCACGGAAACGATGAAATCAGTGTAGCGCACGAAAAGTGAGGGACATCAACTGTGCAGGAGCATGCAAGATGTTCAGCGTTATGTACTAAGCCAGAGATGATCCTGGTTCCATCCACTCCATGCTGGGTCATTGCATCTATCTGCACCTTTTTTCTTATTAAGACTGGGAACGATGAGATGCATTCAGTGGCGTGTACAGTGAAGATAAAAGACCCAGTGGTGAGAGGAATCGCACCGGCGCAGCATGCAGCTTTCTCAGTGTCTAAACTGGAGATGACAATCCTGGTTCGAATCCAGGCTGGGTCATATTTGTGTTCTCGCGGTTTTTTTCTTCAAAATGCGCCAACGAAAAAGTGTTTTGCGTGTATATTGAGGATCCAAGAATGTCTAGGAATACCCAGTAGCGAGAGCATTCGGACCTGCGCAGCATTAAAAACATCCGCTAGGAGCTGTAAAGCTGGAGAAGATCCTGGTTCGACTCCAGGCTGGGTCATACTCGTCGCAACTTGAGGTCTTTTCTGTTCAAAATGCGCCAACGAAAAAGTGCCTAGGAAGACTCAATAGCGAGAGCAGTCGCACCAGCGTAGCATGCCGTCGAAAACGTGTGATGGAGGTGATCCGGGTTCTAATCCAGGTGGGGTCATACTTGTGTTCATCACGCTTTTTTTCTTGAAAACGCACTAACTTACAAGTGGTTTGCGTGTGTATATTGAGGATCTACACATGGGTAGGAGGGCCTGGTAGCGACTTGAATCGCACCGACGGAACATGCTCGCGATCGCGAGAAGCTGTAAAGCCGGAGATCCTGGTTCGAATCCAGGCTGGGTCATAGATGGATTCTCCGCGCTTTTTTTTCTTGAAAATGCGCCGACGGACAACTGATTGGGGTGCATATTGAGGATTTTCACCTGAGCCAGAAGGACTCAGTAGCGAAAGCTATCTCACTGATCTGTATTCTGTATCACTAAGCTGGAGATCTTGGTTCGAGTCCAGGCTGGGTCCTGCGAAGTGTCGGCGGGATTTTTTTCTCGAAAAGCGCGGGAACGATGAGATGAGTTCAGTGGCGGGTGAAGTGAGGTACAAGAGACCCAGGAGCAAGCGGAATCGCACCGGTGCCGCATTCCTTCTACTGAAAGGAGCTCTCAAGCCGGAGACAACCCTGGTTCGACTCCAGGCTGGGTCATAGTTGGGTATTCACGTCTTTTTTCTTGAAAAGCACGGAACGAATGAATTCAGTGGCACGTAAAGTCGCGATTAAAAGACCCAGTAGGGAAGGCATCGCACCGACGCATCATGCATTTCATTAATTGTCACTAAGCCGGAGATGATCCTGGTTCGAATCCAGGCTGGATCATGGGTCGGCGTTCATTTCGTTTTTCTTGAAAATGCGCCAACGATAGTCAATATCATGAACTCGGGAAGATGTAGTAGCGAGAGAGGTATCGCGCCGGCAGTACGGTGGGAGGCATTTCAGCCTGATTCAGGTTTGAATCCAGCCTGGGTTATTTATATATTTCCAGCCGCACTTGAATTCGTGTTTGAGTGAGCAACGCGCCAAGTGGCCCACATATACGGGATGGAAAGGGGGGTAGGGAAGACCCAGTAGCTAAAGGCATCGCACCGGCGCAGTATGTCACCGGTTCATCAAGTACAGAGCCGGAAATTCTGGTTCGATTCCAGGCTGGGTCCTGCGAAGTGTCGGCGGGATTTTTTTCTCGAAAAGCCGGGAACGATGAGATGCATTCAGTGGCGTGTACAGTGAAGATAAAAGACCCAGTGGTGAGAGGAATCGCACCGGAGCAGAGTTGTCTTCAGTAGCGCTAAGCCGGAGATCCTGGTTCGAATCCAGATTCCAGGCTGGGTCATAGATGGATTCTCCGCGCTTTTTTTTCTTGAAAACGGGCCAATGGACAAGTCAATATCGTATAAATCGAGAAAGTTGGGAAGACCTAGTAGCGAGAGAGGTATCGCGCCGGCAGTACGGTGGGAGGCATTTCAGCCTGGTGAATTTGGTTTGAATCTAGGCTGGGTCATTCATATATTTCCAGCCACACTTGAACTCGTGATGCCAAGTGGCCCACACATACGAATGCAAAGGTGGGTAAGGACGACCTACTGTAGTAGCGAAATAAATGGCACCGACGCAGCATAAAAATCCTCCGAGCGGTCGTTAAGCCGGAGATGATTTTAGTTCGAATCCAGGCTGGATCCTGTGAAGCTTCGCTAGCGGGATTTTTTTGTTGCATGAGATGAATTCAGAGGCGCGTGAAGTGAGGGTTAAAAGACCCAGTAGCGAAATGTACCGCACCGGCGCACCGTGCCCATAGTCATCAGAAACTTGCCAGCCGGGGATCCTGGTTCGACTCCAGGCTGGGTCATAGATGGATTTTCCGCGCTTTTTTTCTTGAAAACGGGCCAACGGACGAGTGATTGACACATATATTGAGAGTCTACAAAGTCTGAGCAGGAAGGACCCAGTAGCGAGAGGAATCGCGCCGGCAGCATGTACGCAGTCATAGCCACAAGCTTTGAAGTCGGAGATGATCCTGGTTCGAGTCCAGGCTGGGTCATTGGTTTATGGTCCAATGCTTTTTTGTTCAGAATGCAGCAACGGAAAAGTGCTTGCCGTGTATATTGTGGATCTACACCTGAGCCAGAAGGACCCAGTAGCGAGAAGAATCGCGCCGGCAGCATGTACACGGTCATAGCCACAAGCTTTGAAGTCGGAGATGATCCTGGTTCGAATCCAGGCTGGGTCATTCTTCCAGTTTCCCCCTTTTTTCCCCTTGAAAATCCCGGAACAATGAGGTGAATTCAGTACCGCGTAAAGTGGAGGTCGAGAGACCCAGTGGCGAGAGGAATCGCACCGGCGCAGCATGCTCTGTATTCTGTATCGCTAAGCTGGAGATCCTGGTTCGAGTCCAGGCTAGGTCATTGGGTCATAGTTCATATCTTTTCTTGAATACGTGGCTGCGGACAAGTGTTTTACGTGTATATTGAGGATCCGCGCATGGGCAGGGATGACCCAGTAGCGAGATCAATAGCCCCAGCGCAGTATCTCCACGATGAATCCAGGTTGGGTCATAGTTGGGTTTCTAGCGGAATTTTTTTGTTGCAAGCGCGGGAACGATAACATGAGATGAGAGGCTCGTAAAGTGAGGTCAAGAGACCCAGTAGCGAAATTAAACACACCGGCGCAACATTTCTTCTACTGAAGGGAACTGTCAGGGAGACAACCCTGGTTCGAGTCCAGGCTGGGTCACTCGGGTAGAAGCTGTGTCCTTTTTGTTGAAAATTTGCCAACAGACAAGTGGTTTGCGTGTATATTGAGGATCTACACCTGCTGATCAGGAAGGACACAGTAGCAAAATGAATTGCGCCTGCGCCGCATGCCGTCGAAAATACTCGGATGGAGGTGATCCTGGTTCGAATCCAGGCTAGGTCGTACAATCTTCCAGAAGCACATCTTTTTTTCCTTACCTACGGAACAACGAATACAGAGGCGTGTAAAGCGGGGGTCAAAAGACCCAGTAGCGACAGGAATCGCACCGGCACCGGATGTAGGTCACCTCTGGAAACTTTCAAGCCGAAGACCCTGGTTCGAATCCAGGCTGGGTCATAACGTGGTGAGCAGTTGTTGTTTTTTCTTCCGCCGCCGGGTGCACACACCGAACCTGCCTTTGGAAACGTGGAGGGTAAATTGAGGGTCGGTGTCCCGGTGTCTATGTAAATTCAGGCTAGGAGGTCCGAGGGAGCAGAATTGGACTGCGGGAGGTTATGATCATAATGTGCAACCTCGTGGCGGAATGCATGCTGGTCTCTTACAAACAACAACACTATTGAAAGCTTGGAGGTGCCCAAGTCGTAGATCTTGGTACAAACCAAGCTGAGCTTGAACTCGTGTTTGAGCAACGCGCCAAGTGGCCCACATACATGGGATGCAAAGAGGGCTAGGAAGACCCAGTAGCGAAATGACTCGCACCGGCACAGCATGCCCGATGTTATTAGGGTGTTTCACACATCCCAACTTGAGCCCCAACTCGGCCCCAACTCGGACCCCAACTTGACCCCAACTTCGTCGAGTTGGGGTCGGAGTTGGGGCTCAAGTTGGGGTAGATGTGTGAAACACCTATCTGGTATTTCTCCAACTTCTGCCTCAACTTGAACTGCCAGTCGTGTACTTTTTGCGTCGTTGGCATCATGTTTGTCCAAATGCGGAAATATGATTCTGTCTCTTGCCACCTCCACCGCCGCTCTTCGAGAACTTTACTTGCTGATTCTTGGGATCTTTCGAGCTCGCCGTGAAGTGGATCTTGCAGAAGATGCTTCAAATTCTTCCTGGACCCCCCTATCGTGGTCACAACCGGCACCAATACGTCCCTTTTATGAACGACGCTGTGATTATGGGTCTCTCGGCCTCCGTCCAGCGTCAGATAACACTGCCATGTGCATTCAATGATGATGAAGGTTTTCAGGACACCATAATGACCTGCCAGCCAGGTGGCCGCTACGTATGTTATTATTCTGTCTTTCCACCGATGTTTTCAATTTTATCACAGACAATTTTTCCCGATGTTGCGGGGCTATCCAAGGGAATCGGGGAGCCCGCGGGTGCCGGAGCATGCGGAATATCAGCTGGGTGTTCGGGAGATGATTCAGATGATGTACCCGACCTCGTGTAGATTGTTGGCATGCGCACTTTGTCGGCTAATATCTTCTTCATGCCTACGGTCTCTGAGCGCCAGACACTAATGCGGGGACTCTCCCTCCAGGCGGAGCAGGATACAGATGACTACTTTGAAGAACAACGCTTCAATGCACTGGAGGAGGACTTGGATCTCGATCACCGCATGACGAGTATTGATAGTGCTTCCGACACCTCCGACATTTCCTCCATGTCTTCCGACTCTTCCAGCTCATCCAGTTCATCCGATTCATCCGCGTCCGATGCTTCTATGCCGACAGTTGACAATGGCATCTCTGACGACGACGACGACGACATATATGCTGCCAAGATGAGTGCATACGGCGAAATGATGGAGGCTGTCACGATGACTCGCGTTCTCAATCCTAACAAGGTCGCGAAAGCCTCCCAGTTGCACCTCGTTCTCGTTGAATTCAAGGAGAATGATCCCAAGAGATTTCGACGCAATCTGCGTGTCAGCCCGGAGACATTCGATGCGCTCGTCGGAAAGATCGAGGGCCATCACATCTTCGCAAACAACTCGTACTGTGGACAGACACCCGTCCATCTCCAGTTGGCCATCGCGCTGTATCGATTCGGCCATGATGGGAATGCTGCCTCGGTCGAAGCTATCGCACAGTGGGCCGGAGTAAGTGCAGGTCTCGTTGTGAAGAGCACGCATAGGATCATCATTGCTTTCCTTGCTCTCCACGACGAGGTGATCTACTGGCCGACCGAGGCTGAGAAAAATGAAGCTAAAGCTTGGGTGGAGGCGGCTTCATGCGAGGAGTGGTCTGGAGGCTACTGCATGGTGGATGGCACACTTGTTCCACTTTTTGAGAAGCCTGGCCATCACGGAGAGGCCTATTTCGATCGAAAAAGCAATTATTCACTCAATGTCCAGGTGCGTACTATATCGTACAATTCAATTGTCTTTTAACTGCTTCTACAGTTGATAACACTTCCGAACCTCCGGGTTATTGATTACGTCGTTGGTCATTGCGGTAGCGCCCATGACTCGACAGTATTTTGCGACTCGCGTACGTACAAACAACACCGCACATTATTCAAGAAGGACAAGGAATGGATTTGGGCAGACTCAGCATATGGATTAGATTGGTGGTGTCTCACTCCGTACAAGAAACCCGCCTCGCTTCAGCCGAACAACAAGACATTTAATTATCACTTATCAAGGGTGCGTATCATTTGACAAGACTTCGGCACCGTTCACTGATCCACATATTTATGCATCCAGGTTCGCGTCAAGTCAGAGCATGCCATGGGTTACATCAAGGGCCGTTTTTGTTCGCTTCGAGGCCTTCGGCAGCAAATTGATGACAGCGTCGACCACGAGCGCGCTCTGGCATGGGTAAAGGCTTGTATAATTATTCATACGCTTGTCGGACAGCTGGAGGCCGGGAGAGAGGACCCAGAGTTTATGGACGAGCTGCTGAGAGAAGGACTGGCAAATCCCGCGCCTGCAGCCCCCGTGGCAGATGTAGAGGCGATATCATCAGCAAGGAGGAAGACGCGTGGTCAGAAGAAGCGGGCAGAGCTCAAAGAAAAACTTTTTAATAGCGGCATAGCTGAATCTAGAGAATAAAAGTGCTTCTCGTATTAGGAGACTGGATGTACTAAATCCGCGACTATTTATCTACTGAATACTCCGAGATATGTACTGTGAATACTACGCTTATGCTAAAATATCATGTACACAATCAAGAAATCACTCGCCCCCATGCGAAGGGCCCGGAAACGCAGACCACGCCGAGCTTGAAGTACCCCCCGTTGCCTCCGTGCTGGAGCCGGACCCCGATGCAACGTTGCTTGCCATCCCAGACCATGCCGAGCCCGAGGTGCTCCCCATTGGCTCCGGGCTGGAGCCGGACCCGGACGCGACGCTGCTCGCCATCCCGGTATTGTACCAACTCGGCACGACATCATTCATATCGAATGTTATGTCATCTAACCGGTCCCTCGAGGATTGATCCTGTACGAAAGCTGCCGAGGAAGACAGTGCACTGGAGTGCATGCCGGAAAGAGCAGAGGATGAGGGTGTGCTGGGGTGCATACCAGAAAGAGCTGAGGATGAGGCCGCACTGGGGAGAGCAGAGAAGGGAGTCGTGACGGAGCCCACGCCGGGGAGAGCACCGCTCGTTGGCACAGAAGAGCTCCCGAAAGGAAAGCTTCCGAACAGGTGGGAGTTGTCAAAGCGAGGCGGCGACAGCGGCGGCATACGAGGTCGAGCGGGAGACCGAGGCTTGACACGGGCTCGTCGAGGGGAAGCCGGAGAGCTCCATGCGTGGTTATTGAGTCGTTTGCGCTCATTTTGGGCCTCCAGTAGCCTGAGGTCGTATTTCACCTTCTTGACCCGAATGCGCGCCATTTCCTCCGTGTGCTGCATCTGCCGCTTCTCCGTCAAACGTGCCGACTCCGTCTCGCGCAGGTCGTTCATCCGATCAATGGCTGTGACAGGCCTCTTAGGCCCTGTCTTCGTGGCTCCCGCCGAGGATGATGTCTCGCGTGCTTTCGCAAGACCTAGATCACGACCGCCGGCAGCGGGTTTGCTCTTGGGCACGGATGCAGCCTTCTTGACAGGAGCAGCAGGAGGTATCTGTGGAGGAGGCGTGATGGTCGACGACCGAGTCGGAGCCTACAGTGCGAATCACTGTCAACGTCGAGCGCGCGAATGAAGAGGGACATCTTACGTCAACGTCATCCTCGTCCGGCTCGGATTCATGCGACTGGTAATCACCGCCATCGTCCTCTTCCCTCACATCACCACGGTCATCTTCATCCCTCGCTCGCGACGTCGCTGAACGGCCATCATCCCCGTCTTCGTCGTCACTGGCGTCCACGGCACCAGATGCTTTGAAAAGACTCTCCGCATCTGCGGCATGGTCTTTGCCAGGTTCCGAAGACTGGACGCCGACTGGATTGTAATTCGGGAGCTCTCGCCAGAATGGATGAAGGTCGTCCCACCACGGCCATTTCGAACGTATGTCACCTGCAACAGTCAGTAAAGGCGTATTGAAACTTGCAGGAGAACTTACCAAGTAAAGACTCGATCTTGCT